ACCCGTTTGCTTTTTCCTGGATTATACTACCAGGGTTAATACTGAGTACACTTATGAAGCCAGGAAGTAAACTCTGGTGGGTTTTGCCATGCGCTCTATAAAGCTTCAACACCAGCTGACTGAACTACCAGCTTTCTGCCTCTTCCTGCCTGGCCTTAGGCTCCCCCAGAGCGTGGCCAAACTCAAGTCACACAGAGGAATTCCAGAACAGACTCTAACCACTCTCTGCTTTGTGGTGAAAATGCTGGGAATAATGAGCTACTGTTTAACACACACACACACACACACACACACACACACACACACACACACACACACACATACACGTTATATATGTAAATTTTTAAAGCCATCATCTTGCTATGGAACCCTAACTGGCTGGCGTGGAGCTCTCTACATAGACCAGGCTTTCTGCCTCTGTTCCTGTGGCTCTGGCACTACAAGGAAGGCATATGTTTGCATGTGGCCACTTCTAGCTTTCTATGTTCTGCTAAGGGAAGGTAGTCAATAAATGACTCTTTATATCACACAGGGTATTATTCCCCAGTCACCTTCCTCATTCTTCAAACAGGAGAATAAGAGTAAGTAGGAATGTGCTGTTGCCCATCTTTTCTTTTTAGACCCCTGGCATGGAACACACTGAGTACTCCATGCTGCCCTGGAACCCATAGAGATCTTTCTGCCTCTGCCTCCTGAGTGTTGGGATTAAAGATGTGCACCACCACCGCCTGCTGTTACCCACTTTAGCCAAACTGTGATGAACTCTGTGAACACGTGTTTGGGGGTGTGTGTGCGTGTTCAGTTTCACGCCTGAAAAGAACCATGTAGAGAGAGGAAGGCCCGTGGACTGGAGGAGCGTCAGGCAGCAGGCCCTGAGCTCCTCTGGGCAGCTCTCTAGCAGCAGCAGCAGACAAAGCTGTGCGCCAGGCACTCACCTCAGCTAAGAAATCAGCTTCGTTGTCTGCTGAGATGTTCAAGCCAGAAACATCATTGAAGAGTTCCCGCTCATTAAGGGCTTCCTTTACTCCTCCTTTCTGGAAAAACTGCAGCGACACACACAGCCAGACATCAGCCAAGCTCTCACACCCCTCCCGCAGGCACAAGCTGCACTCCACTCCTTCAGATTCTGCAGCCACTGAGGATTCCCTCTCAAGGTTAACTGGCCCAGGTCTACACGACATTGTCTGTTTTCATTAACTTCCACGGCCTGCTACCTCTTCTTCAGTATAAACGTGGTGCCCTGTATACAGTGGCTTTGGCACTGTTTTGTGTGGACAGATGCAATGCAGTCACTAAATCACATGAATTACTATTTTAAGCAGGCCTACAGGTTACCCACAGTATAAAGTTATTTATCACTTGGATCTGTTGCTAGCAAGTCCTTTCTCTGTGCTCAGGGAGTGAATTCACTCTCCCTTGGAGTGACAGTGGCAGTGAGCAGACACTGTCCCAGTGAGCAGCAAGGAGGCCGTCCTTCTAGCAGTACTGGGAGGAACCATGCAGGCTTAACCACCTTCAGCTTTGGTTTATGCATTAGGCATACATTAAGTCCATTCACTCCTTAAACAGCAGGAGCCAAACCAAAAACTTAGTCTCTTAGAAATGGAGGCCACATGAGTCATGGACTCCAGAGTCCATGAATAAGTGAATTCTGAAAAACCCTCCTTTATCTCCTTCTGCTAAAGGCAGTCGGTATCTTTTCCTTCAATTTCTGCAAATATGATCTCTTAGGAGTGAGAAAAAATATTTGAACCTGTGACATCCTTTAAAAGGCATTGCTTGGCACACTTACCTGTGAAACATTCCTACAGTCACGGAATAAGAACTCCAGGCCGTGAGGATGGGTTGGTTCTACAGACTGACTGACGTCAATCAACCAGACCTAGTTAACATAAAGCACAGACTGATGTAACACTCAGTAATTTACACCAGGAAACGTGATTTGAACATTAACTGGAGTGTGCCTCTTACCTTTCCAGCATGCCACAACATGTTATACTCGCTGAGATCAGCATGCACAAGGTTACACTCATTATATAACTGCTGCATCAACTGAGAAGAGAAATGAAAGCATAATTCTAATAGACCTTGATTCAATGAATTAAATGACTAATGAAGATGAATGTGTCAACAAGTACTTCCCAAAAAACAAGTTAAAAACCTATTTCATGGGCAGTAGTGATGTCTTTAAACCCAGCACTCAGGAGGCAGAGGCAGGAGGATCTCTGTGAGTTCAAGGCCAGCCTGGGCTACAGAGTTCAGGAGAGCCAGAGCTACACAGAGAAACCCTGTCTCGGAAAACAAAACACCACCACCTTCCTTCCTTCCTTATTTGTCTCTTGTTTTGGTTGCACCGATGACTGAGTCCAGACGCGCACACTCCACAGATGAGCCCGTCCTCCTCCCCCTCCTACACGATCTAAGACGCACACACTCCACAGATGAGCCCCCCTCCCCTCCTACACGATCTAAGACTGCGGCACCTCTGCTGTTGTGTCAGTGGAGTTTAGGAGAATGAGGGAGAGTTCATGTGCGCCATTCTGCTTCCTTGCTGTGACCGCAGAGTCAGGCCCAGGCTCAGACTCCGATGGCACCTGTTGTCTAACCACTTCCTCTGTCAAAGGACAGTGTCCCACTAAGACCTCCATGGAGCAGACACAGTTCCAGGGGAACAGTATTTCCTGCCTGTGATGGTAGAAGAGGTGTTCTTGTTTGTGAGCCGGTGCCTTGGTATGCAGCCTGGGATGGCCCTGAACTCATGAACTTCCTGCCCTAGACTCCCAAGTGCTGGGATTCCCGGTGTGTAGGACGCGTGGTCTCCAGCCTTTTAAACTAAGCAGCATCATAATATCATCATTAATGATAACCCTAACTTTACCCTTGAAATGTGTGTTTGCTGCCCCTAACAGAACTGTATAACCAAAGTCCATCACTTCATCTCTTCCCCAAAGCATTCTGAACATGGTTTCCTTTCTTCCTGTTCTCCTCTTGGCAGTGGAAGGTGTTTAACCTCTGAAACTGCATCTCGTGTTCATGAATGTGTGCATGTGGGGTGTACATGTGCATGCATGTGGCATGCATGTGGAAGCCAGAGGTCCAAGTCAGGTGTCTTCCTCTGTGGCTCCACCTTAGTTCCTGAGACAAAGTCTCTCACTATAAACCTGGAGCTCATGGATGCAGCTGGACCAGCTGGCCAGCAAGGCCCTGGAATCCCGTTTTCTCCTCAGGGCTGGGATTAAGGCACGCACCATAACACTGGGCTTTTTACAGGGATACTGGAGGTCCAAACTCAGTCTTGGGCTTGCACAGAAGTAATCTGGCTCCGAGTCTACTTCCTGCCCCCGAGTTCCTGTTTGCATCGGCGAGCAGCACTGTGAGGGAACCAAGGCTGAGGATACGTGCACCACTTAAGCTCAGGCCCCTCTGATCATACCCTAACAAACTGTTGGGTAGTATTTTTATATTGACATCAGCTGCTGTATGACACAAAGGCTCCATGTAGACAGTGTGTGACACACACCTACGTTTCCCCAGTGTTCACTGAAGACACTGCAGAAGAAATCACGACGGCACTGGGGACATTTTCTTAAACGGGAGGCTTCAGCGTTAATTCAGTTGTTGTCTGCAAACACACGTCACTGTCAAGATTCCCGACACCAGCTCTCCAACTGCAGCACCCGGTCCTGCCACTGCCGCCCACCATCTTCAGTTTCCCCATCACTTTGCTGCAGTGATGCCAATCGGCTTCCCTCGGATTTCCCAACAGTGGCTCTAGGCCTTTCCTTCCTTTTTCTTTTTTTTTGGTTTTTCAAGACAAGGTTTCTCTGCATAGCCCAGGCTGTCCTTGAATTCAGATTCGCCTGCCTCTACCTCCTAAGTAAGTACTGGGATTAAAGGTATGCCCGACCCTTTCCATACTGCTAAAGAACCCTAATTTTTAAGGAGTCAGACAGAGGGATTCCATCTGCTAAACTTGACTGAAGAAGTTCTGTGAAAAATTGTTTCATACTAAGAATGAAGCTTGCTCTTGCTCCATGAATATCTTAAAGTTTTCTCAAACGATTCAGTACACAAATGGACATGGAAACAACTGTGTTGAGATAGGGTCTCACTAAGGAATTCAAGCTGGCCTCTGACTTGCAGTCCTTTAGCCTTAGCTGCCCATGCTGTAGGATCACAGGCAGGTTAATTTTTAATCTACGTTCACGGTGTGTGTGTGAATTCCCGCTTACATTGTACCTGCATCAGACCCTCGAGAGTAGAGCCACAGGGGTTGTGGATCAGCTATCAGGGGAGCAGGGGGCAGACCCTTGTTCACTGCAAGAGCAGCAAGTGCTCTTCGTCACTGACATCTCTCTAGTGCCTCCCCCTTCAGACAGCGTCCTAACAGATAGGCTACTTGACTGAAACTTAATATGTACACAAGCTGGCCGCCTCCAACTTGTAGCTATCCTCCTCTCTGCCTTCTCAAGGACACAGGTGTGCACCACCATGCCTGTCTAAAAGACAACTTCAATGTCAACAATCCTTCACAAGATTCTGTTTATCCTTCTTATACTACCTTCAAAAAGTATGATTCCATGATTTTTTAAAACATTTATTTATTTCGCCAGGTGGTGGTGGTGCGTACACCTTTAATCCCAGCACTCAGGAGGCAGAGGCAAGAGAATTTCTGTGAGTTCGAGGCCAGCCTGGTCTACAGAGTGAGTTCCAGGACAGGCTCCAAAGTTAAAGTTACACAGAGAAACCCTATCTCAAAAAAACAAAACAAAAGAAAACAAAAATTTATTTATTATGTGTACAGTGTTCCGCCTGCATGTCTGCATGTTTGCCTGTGGGCCAGAAGGGGGCACCAGATTTCATTACAGATGGTTGTAAGCCACCATGTGGTTGCTGGGAACTGAACTCAGGACCTCTGGAAGAGCAGCCATCTCTCCAGCCCCATGATTTTTGAAAACTTGCCATCATTCCTAAGCTAGGCTCTTGTGCTGTGTTCCCAGGTTGACCTTGAAGAGCTGGCTCAAGTGCCTGGGCCTCCCAAGCAGCGGCACTACAGGCACCCTCGAACCCGGGGAGAAGAAACGTACTGACGCGTCAGTGCACAGGAACCATACGGCACAACTTACATGCAGAGTCTGATGGTAGGCGTCCTTCATCTCTTCACTACTAAGCTTTACTTCTTTCAATTTAGGGGCTGGAACTTGATCATGGCCAATGAAAGACATTACTAAAATGTGCTTCTTAAGCAGTACAACTGTTGGACAAGGAATTCCAGCCTTCTGCATTCTGTATAGAAAGACATGATTAGGAATATAAAGGTCAGAAGGAGAAAACATGCCATTAATTCCACAAACGCCTGTGTTGAGCTGGTACTATGCTCTACACGGGAGATAGGGGAATACAAAACCAGGAAGACACAGCCCCGCTGGGAGGGAACTTGGCAGGTGGAATGGTACCGAGTTAAGGTTGGCACAGGTGTGCCCGGCGCCCTGCACGCTCTGTGATTCTTCAGAAAGACTGTTCAACAGAGAGCTGTCCTATATATGACAGGATGTCTGGGCAAACGATGCCTTAGTTTCCCTTGAATGTTAACGAAGAAGGAAATGGCTTTTCATTCACAAAGGATGAATTCTGGTTCAAAGCAGGGAAATGTTTTCTGACAAAAAGCCTTGGAAGCACTAGAAAGTCAACATCTTCTGTTATTTCTATAAGCCAGCTTAAAAGACAGCATGGGCCTTGGCCTGGCTAGCAGTCCTGGTACAAAGGGCAATTCCCAAGGTCACCTGCAGCACACTGTTTCTTTACCTTGTAAGATTGTGCATTTCTTTCTCTGCCCACATGCGGATGATCTTACGTGGATTTAGTTTACTGAAGCGGTCCTTAAACCTGAAATCATCTTTAATGTATTTGTCACGGTTCTTAAACTCATTCAGGGTTGTTTTAAATACCTTGATGGCACATTCGGTTGGTATAGCTCTACCATCTTCCTTGTCCTCCTCCAAGCTGAAGGGAGAAGAACAAAGTCAGTAAGTCACCAGCTCACAGGAAGACCGTCTCAGGCTCCATTCCACTCAAGTAGACCGACTCTGTTTCAAAGGGTCATCCGACTTTGTTGTTGTTTTTAAACCTTCAAGTTTTATATCTTAATAAAACATTAGGTTTTAGGGGATCCTGCTATGTTTCCTAGAATGGCCTCAATTTCCTAGACCCAAGTGATCCTCCTGTCTCAGCTTGTCCAGGATCTGGAACTACAGACAGACACTGTTGCTCCTAGCTGGGTTTGTTTCTTTTAATAAAACATACTTCCAAATGAACTGTCAGATACCTTTCATCAATCTACAGTATAATGTTCTGCATATTTCATCACTATAGAATCAAGCTTGACAAATAATGGGAAAACATACTTCTTAAACTACTATGACCTTGGATTTGGGGGCAAAACTCAACAAAATCAACAGAGTAGCCTTGTAAAAAAAAATAATCATAATTCCCAGCCTGGTCTCCAAAGCGAGTTCCAGGAAAGGTGCAAAGCTACACAGAGAAACCCTTGACAGCTGAGACATCCAGTCTCCTGTACTGAACAACTACCAGGTCCTTTGCCTTTCCATCAGGGAACAGCCATAGTTGGACTAACAGACCACAGCTTGTGAGCCTCTCTAGTCATCTCCCTTTAAAATATATCCATATGTGTAGAATTCTATCATTCCTGTTCCTTTAAAGAGCCTAATACACATGCAGAAACATCTACATAGACAAGCAGCTGTAATGACGTGCTATGTACCCTTTCATCCATCTTTTGGCTGTCAACACTGGGTTTTTTGCTTACTTTTAAAATGCAGGCTGAAAGCTAACCTCATCATGATGCCTTCCCTGCATGTGTCTGGCAATGATCTTGCCCTCTGTCTCTTCCTACCCTACAGTGGTCTTACACAGCTGCATGCTTTGTCATACAATTATCTTTTACTGGTCGTAACTGTTCTTGCTCCAGTGACCTCCTCCTGTCACGGAGGATCTGACTGCTGTGGTGACAAACAAGAAAGTCTGTACTTTCTCCTTTATGTGCATGTTGATGTGAGTGAGGGTCAGCAGACAACCCTGGATGTTGGGCCTTGCCTTGTGCCTTGGGGCGGTCTCGCTGCCTCTGTGTAAGCCAGGCTCCCAGGGAGTCTCCCGTCTCCCCCCCACCCCACCCAGGAGCACAGGGAACCCCAGTCCTCATACTTGCACAGAAACCACTTCACCCTCCCAGCCGACTCTCCAGCCCCAGAAAATACACTGTTTAACTTTTAATTAAAATTTTCATATACTAAAAAAAAAAAAGAAAAAAACATGAAATCCCAAAAACACTGCTTGATACACCAGCCGGCTCAGGATTTCCAAGGGAGCAAACCCAGCTCTCCATTCAGTGAAGCCTTCCACTAACTGTTTAACAAAAAGAGGAAAAGCAAGGCATACAGTGTTTCCACATCAATTTCATTAGGAGTTTAGCTGGAGGGTATAGCTGTAAAACACACCTAAGTTCAAGGATCTCTCTATACAGTCCCATAATGTCATTTACAGTAGCATGGTCTGGGGATGGAGAGGCAGCTCTGAGGCCAAGGGCACTTGCTGTGCTCCCAGTTCCAGAGGACTGGGATTTGGTTCCTAGCTCTCCTGTCGGACAGCTCACAACCACCTTTAACTCCAGCTCCAGGGAAGCCAACGCCTCCTGGTCTATTACACATCAATAAAAATAAGACTTTAAAAGGTATAGTGCGGTCTAGAAATACAGACTGCCTACTAATACCTAAACGTCAAAGGTATGTTAACTGGGAAGAGATCACTGCATAAGCTAAGTAAACAAATGCATACAAAACTCTGAAAGATTGAACTCAAAGTTGGAAAGGAAGAAATAAATGTTTGTTAAGATTAATATCAGGAATTATGAAATAAGGTCTCATTGAGCCACACAAAAATCCCATGAAGTGAGGCGCAGTTTCCAAGTGAGGTTTTCATCTAACTTGTTCCAGATCAGAGGTTAAAACTGCAAACCCCTCCCCATACCTCCTTCCCTTTTGGTGCTGGGGATTGAACCCAGGGCCTTGCATCTGCTAAGCATGAGCTCTACCACTGAGCTACATCCCCAGACCCAACCCTGCTTTCTGCTCTCTTCATTTTTAGAACTTAACAATCCGATTCACTATGATGTCTGTGTGTTAAGGGTGTGTGTGAAAAGGTAAATAGTTAAGAAAACTAAAGGCAAAGAATTGACCAACAGGCATGTGAATTCTTTTAAGTACAAAACAAATAAATAAAAATAATGTCTACACTTCTACAATAATGACTCCATTTGCTATGCAGCTTAAGTCTGATTATATATAACCCATCAGTCCTGAGGAGAAAGGTGTTTGTTCGTTTACCTCCCTCCATAGGCATGAAAGACAACAGATTCTTTTCCTGTACTAATACAGCCAGTGACTGTCTCCAGCATTCCAGAGTTGACCATTTTATACATAAGTAAGCGTGTCTTAGGATCAACTGCTTTTTCCTGTAAGAGATAAAGTACTGTAAGTGAAAATGATCATCATAAGATTCTCTTTTCAAAGGGTCTTAAAAGAGCCTGATCACAATACAGTTCTTTCCTCAGGGCCCTGGATGTCAGCTCCAGTGTCATGAGGCTGCAAGTCTGGACCACAGAGTCACGGTTTCTGTGGCAGACAACCTCAGGGGTCAGAGCTTCTTGAGGAATGGTCAAGGGATGGTAAGGGCTGACAGCAGCACCATGGTGACCCATTTTCAAAGGTCCGGAGCCAATGAAGGACAAAGCCCAAGACGGTAGAGCCTGGAGTTTTTCAGAGGGGCACAAGGCAGAGACTGTGTGTAAATGACTCAGGCTCGTCCATTCCCTGGCCAGGCCCACCCGTACTGCTCTGGAAGTATTTGGAGATGAACGCTCCTCTGTTGTGCCTCCACACTGACCTCCAGGAAAATCAGCCTCTCCCTTCTCCTCCAGTTCACCATAAGCCTCAATATGCAGAGCAGGAGGTTCTGATGCATCAGGAGAACTAGTTTCCCCAAAGGACATCTGTTCTGAGCAAGGGCTTCACCTTCCTTCTCACAAAACTCCTGGCTTCCTAGCTCTGTCTCTCCACTTTGTGGACGATGACGTGGGTCTGGACAGGAGTCTCTTCAAGGAAAACCAAACCTTGAGTCCTGCACCATCCATTTATCCCCATCCACTCTTCTCCCTCCTCCCAGGTAGGACACTAAAGTAGACAAGGTACAGAGACAGTGATGGGTTCTGGGTGGCACCATGGCTCCAGTAATGTTTTATATCATATTCAGAGGCCACAAGACACACTCCTGCCCATTGGAACGATCCCCCTGACCTCTGGTAACCCCTAATTTTATCCCAAGATAAACAATTAGCCCCAGAGGAGGAAACTGAATGGGAGGCATCATCGCAGCTCCCCTCCAGAGACAGAGCATGAGAAGGGAGTAGAGGAGTGCAGAGGTCACAGTACCTGCCTCTCCTTCCTGAGCATCAATGTGCTCCTCCCCAGCCCCCACACTACGCCAGGACTGCGGTTTAGACATAAGCCCAGATTAGAGCAAGCATGGATCAGGGCAGTGAACACAGGGGCTATGTGGTACAACTGGGGTGCCAGGCAGTGTGTACAGTTGGTAGGTCTCTAGATTTAATACATACACAAAGTCCCTCCCCTTCCCTAACCCTTGACCTTCCTTGGTTCCCCTGCAGCATCCTCTCTATCTAGCTGGGTACCATCTACTGAGGACCCAAGTCCCTTTTCTATCTTTTATGAAGGTAGAACTCATACAACACCTCCAGAGTATTTTGAGGCTATGAGACAACTTCTCCCTTCCAGTCCTAATCCAGTATCAAACTTGTGGCACCTTGCCTGTGTAGCCTATGTGGTTCCCTATCTCCTGAGCCTTGAAGGGGGGCTCTTTGACTATAACTTCCACATTCTGTCCTTAAAAAACAAACTGGTAGTTAAAACACATCAAAACCCAAACACAGGTTTAATCAAAATCTTTTACCAAGTTTAAACAGCTCTCTCAGAACTATTATAGTTATTATTATTAATTTATGTGTATATGTGCATTGCCTGAGGCATCCCCTGGAGCTGGAGGCATAAGCAGTTGTGAAGCTGCCTAATGTGGGTGCTGGGAATCGAACTCCAAACCTCTGCAAGAACAATGTATGTTCTTTCATTACATTGAGCCATCTCCAGCCCTCTTAGAGCTTTTTTAAGGGTTTAGTAAATTCACTTATTAAAATAGTACACATTTCTTCATTAATATAAAGGTTAGGGTTTTAAAGAGTCTAGTAATTTTGCTATTTCCAAAATAGATATTGTCTTCATTGATGGAAAACATTAGAGACTTTATTAAGTCCAAGTAGTTGCAAATGTCAGTGTAACAGGCAAAAGCTTTTTTAAACAATGTGCAACATTTGAGCTGAAGAGATGCCTCAGGAGTTAAGAGTACTGGCTGCTCTTCTAGAGAACCTGAGTAAAACTCCCAGCACCCACATGTCAATTCACAACTGTCTGTAACTCCAGTCCCAGGGGATCCAAGGGTACCAGGCACCCACAAACACCCACATGCAGACAAAACACCCCCACACATAAAAGAAAATAGATCTTTAAATATCTGAAACATTCAACTAAACATAAAGTGTATGCTCTAAATTACTATCACTAAACATAACCTTTTAGGGAAAAACCATTTGCTCAACCGCAAATTCCCTACCATCTCGGTGAACTTCTATATAGACATGGCACTCTGAAGCAGTAAGGTTATTACTAAAAAATAGCAGAGCTTAGCAGCACACACCTTTAGTCTCAGCACTTGGGGAGGCAGAAGCAGGCAGATCTCTGAGTTCAAGGGGAGGGAGTAGGGGAGTATTACTAAAACTTTTTAATAAAGTTTCACTCAGCTTACACATTATACTTTCATTACCAATTTTCAAACAGTTCTTCAACTGCATTAGCCCAGAGAACAATATAAATGTGCTTTTTTCTTTTTCTTTTTTTTAAACACAAGGTCTCACTAACCTAGTCTAGCCAGGAAATCACTGTGAAGCCCAGGATAGCCTCAAACTCATGGCAATCCATACTCCAAAGTTCTGGGATTATAGGCATGAGCCACCTCAGTTCAATTTGAACTCCTTGACCAGACTAGTCCCTGGCAGGTCTGAACTGTTTGCCAACTTTACTGAAACACTAGCAGGGTTAACCTCATACAGGTTCTGGGCACACTCTAAAACTTGTTGAAGCATGTGAAGCCAAGGGCCACCAACTGTTTCTGCTAAGCTACTTAGGTTCCTTACGGGTCCTGGTAAGTGATGTCAGGCTTGAAGGCTCAACATTACTGCCTCCACTGAAGCCTCTGGTGACAGATGGCCAGTGTGTGCCTAACAGGCAAGCCTGAAGCCACACCACCAGCTACAGTGGTTACCACCTGGGCCATCACATCTGACTTCTGGGGTGCAACAGAAGGTGAGCCAACTACAGATGCCGTCACTACTGGAGCCTGAGCTATGGCTGTTGTGGGTGGGCACTGCTTTCAGGTGAGGGTCAGACAAGAAGAGCGGTTTCACCCTGTGCGCCAAGTCCCCGGCAGCGCCGCTGCTAGAGACGGAAAACTCCGTAACGCGGGCTGTAAATGACCGATTACCTATTACAGTAAGAAAATGCCAAGAAACAAAGTCACTTGAGTAGCACTGACTTGAAAAGCTAATTTCAGAGGCGGGGGAATTAAATCATGAAGTTCTGTTTTGTTCTTTTCCCCTCAAACATTAGTTTCTAACATGAATTCTTCCACCAAAGCGAGGGAGGTGCAGAATGCTTACCGCGGTAGAATGCTCCTTCTTCTCATGGAGCCGGGCACTTCGGCGCTCTTCTGAGTAGGCATGTTGTTTTAAAGCATTGAAAACGTGGTTGGACAGCTTTAAATCCATTCCAATTCCATCTCCTACCTGAAAGCCGGGTGCAAACTGACAAAGAAGAAAAGCCAGCAGTTAACGTTTTCCTAGGGAACGGTGTGGGAACCACAGTGGGAAGTCAGTCTTGTAGAGTTCCTACTCAACAGACGACCTCCTGCACACACAGCAGCCACAGGCACCGCAAGGGAGGGACACGGCTCCCTGACACAGAGGAGCACCCCAAAGAAACTGCAGCCCAAAGGAAGGCATACGCTACACAGAGAATCCAAAGGGAATGACCCGGCATTTGCTTTGTACCTTGTTCTGATGCCAAAGAACAATGTTATCTTATAAAGCCTCCATGGAGCCTTACCAAAGAACTATAACTTCATAATTATTTCTAAAGACTAAGTTGCTAAAGCAGACCATACCAATCATCTCCATGACAATTATGGAGTCCACTTAGGTGGCTACCATGTGGATATTTAAATTTGAGTTAATTAAAATTCAGTTCCTTAGTTGCACCAAGTGCTCAACAGCAAATACAGCCACCATGTCAGAAGACAGAGATAGGCACTCTGCTGTCACCAAAGTTCTGCACAACAGCACTGTTCCAGAGCCACAGACATTTCCAGACAAGACACATCACAACCATACTGAATAAGATATTTACTGAAAAAACATTTCTGCACTAAGGTCTGCACGTTTCTTACTGACCACAGTTTTTATGAAAGAGAATACTTTTTAAAAAGATTTTTTTAGGGGAGCGGGAGAAGGGGAGGAAAGTGGAACAGGGGTTGGTATGTAAAAGGAAAGAAATAAAAATTCTAAATTTAAAAAAAAAAAAAGATTTATTTGAGACAGAAAAAATGGCTCCCCAGTTAAAAACACTTGCTGTTCTTCCAGAGGACCCAAGTCAGTTCCCAGCACTCATGTCAACAGGTACCCTCTTCTGGCCTCCACAGGTACCTGAATATCTCTCTCTCTCTCCCTCTCTCTCTCTTTCTCTCTCTCTCTCCTCCCCTTACACATACACACACACATAAAAAGCTAAAAACTTAAAAAATTGTATGTGCATGCTTGTTTTGCCTGCATGTATATATGTGCACTACGCACACACCTCAAGTCCACGGAAGCCAAAAAGAACATCAGATCCTCCAGAACTAGAGTTGAGGATGGTTGTGAGCTACCATGTGGGTGCTAGGAAACAAACCCAGTCTTCTGCAGGAGTACTCTTAGCTGCTGAGCTATGTCTCCATCTCCCAAGACATTTAGTTTCATTTTAAGGCATATTCTTAACTGTGTGTGGGTAGGCATGCACACACACATGTGAATGCCCATAGAGGCTGGAGGCATCAGAGCTCCTGGAGCTGGAGTTCACAGGCAGT